CCAGGACAGGGGCCCTTGAAGGCAGGGGCCCTCCAGGACAGGGGCCCTTGAAGGCAGGGGCCCTCCAGGACAGGGGCCCTGAGGACCAGCTATGGGGCCCGCTCTGGTCGCCGTCATGCAGGAAAATAAAATCTGACGTTTAAAGAACTGATGAATAAAATCAGCTTCATCTCTTAAAGCAGAGAAAGAATCAGATTCTGATCAGAGAATAAATGAACATTTTTATTTTCTCTTTAACTTTCAGACTCTGAGAGGCTGATTTACATCATTATTACTGCAGGAAAGAAGATTCATCTGCAGGAAAGGATTTAAAAAGTTTTATTTCATTAAAGTTTCCTAATAACATTTATATATAAAAAAGAAATGTTTCTGCAAAAAGCTTCATTTAATTCAGATCAAACAGATGATTATGATTTATAAATCGTTCCTTTATCGTCGCAGTTTAAAGCTCAGCTCTTTAGATTTATTTAGAATCAGTAAAAATATGATCCAGTTTAAACGACTAATGTTTTAATTCCTCAGACATCAATGAGATGCTTGTCAGGTTTATTCAGCGATGATTATAAAATTAAAGTGTGTTTATGAAACGTTTGATGCGAGGCGATGCTCCTGATCCAGTCAGGAGGCCATCCTGCCTCATCCTGCTTCATCATTCTGTCTTCATGAACTGATCAACTGTTCTGTCAGAACAATCCTCCGTTTGTAACCAGGCGCCATGTTCTGTTAATAAACGCTCTGCAGAGGAGGTCCAGGAGGAGACCGCTGGAGGTTCAACTGTCTCTCCTTCTGCAGGAATTATATCCATTATTGTGAATTTCACTTCTTCTTTTACAAAAACCTACATTTTATGAACCCGACAATCCTCTTCACACAATCTGTCTTCGATTAGACAAGAAATATCGTCTGCAAAAAAGATCAAAGTGTTTAGTTTTCTTTATGCTAAATGAGAAATACAGGCAATTCTGTAAAACAATAAAAAAAAGGCATTTAAAGGAGAAGTCCGGTCATTCTGGAATAATCATTATTTATACCTAAAACTGATACATTCGCAGTGATTTAATGAATTTAGCATTAATCTGTGAAATAAATAAAAGTATTAATTGTCATCGTAATAACTGAGTTACTGGGAGCGGCCATTTTTCGAGAGTTGGAGAAATGTCCTGGGAAACAGGAAGTGATTGTTGTTGGATGGAAGAAGGAAATAGTGAAAACGAAGAAGATTGGAAAAGAGTAACGTTAAAAATGAGAAAAAGCAGAGATCAACTGAACAATCTAGAAATTCTACAGGAAAACTAAATGATTACAAAGTCCGATTCTAACCAGTTAATCAGGGAGACTCTTTTACAGATTGGAATCTGGTTCAGTTAATAAAATCAATCGATAAACTTGTAGAAGTCTGGAGAGCCAGAATCCTCTATAGACCTGATAATAAACTGCAGAGCCTCAGCGAGGCAAAGCGAGACGCTTCAGCAAGATGGAGGGAGGAGAGTTCAGCGCAGCTTGGAGGAGAACAAAAGGAGGAGCAGGGGAGGGAGGGGAGGAGGTCCTCTAAAAGGAGCTGAAATAGAGATTCTAGAAAACATAAAGTGGTGCAAAAGTAAAAGAAGGGAAACGGTCAAAAACAACAAGAAATGCAGAAAACTTTAAATATAAAGAGGAGCAATTAGCCAGTAAGGTTTGCATTGGTTACATGAGCTAGAATGTGAAATTATTCAATCATCTGAGATGCTTTAAATAACAAACATCTGGTCATTCAGCAGCTGGATGGAAAGGAAAACTGCTGGAGAAGTTTAAATGCTGTAACTGCTAACATTCTGCTGCTTATCCAGGATGTGAAGTGAGAAAAAGATCTAAAGAGATCAGAAAACTGAAATTAGAGCTCAGAATAAATTCTGCTGACGCTGCAAAAAGAATCTAATCCCAGTCAGAAAAACCCAAACCAGTGGAGGAAATGATGAGTTTAAACCCGCTGCAGAGGAACCAGTGATTGTTAAAAAGAAATATTTATGGTAGAAGTGATCAACTGTAGTGCTCAATAATAGTGAAAGCTGCAGAAAAGTGCCTTAAAGTTAGAGATTTAAACTGGGAAACGGTTGAAAGTATGATGGGAAAACCAGTAGGACCATCAGAAACTGGCAGTGATGCTAACTTAATGATAAATTCGAAATTATGAAGACGATCGACAACAATTATTGAAGATTTCCAGAGGACTTCACCATTGAAATTCACCA